GGGAAATCTCCAGTGACCGAAAGATCTCCAGTTAGATGTGGCTGTACCGGCATGCTATCCGTGGCACCCGGGAAGTGTGTGCAAAGAAGCAGATCCAGTGATTCCTCCTCGGTCTCTGTCCAGGAGCCGTCAGGTCTTTGCAAGCATCCTGGGGCTTTCTGGGCAGTACCTGAGAGTATCTTTCTTAGCCTGCCTGCCTCTGAGATAGACTCCACCCCATTGCAGAAGTCTTTCCATGAGGTTCTTTTCGACCTTCTTAGGAGCTTCTTGTACTCCCGTAACGTTGTCTTGTAGGTCTCCCAATGTCCCTCACTACCAGACGCAGTAGCCTGATTGAAGGTTTTCCCTCAGTTCTTGCTTGAAATCCTGATTTCTTCATTCCACCAGGGTGGCTTTTTCCTACCCCGGTGCTGCTTTTTGGGGCAGGCAATGTCTATTGCCTTACTGCAGGCCCCCGTAAAATGGTCGACAAGATATTCCAGCTCCTCTAGGTTTGCTGGAGTAGCCGGCTCTCTATCTTGTGGCAAAAGCCTATCCAGCTCTTTCCGATACCTATGCCAGTTGGCATTTCGCAAGTTTCTAGTTAGAGGAGCCTTGGGCATTTCCCCTAATACCTCGAATTGGATATATCGGTGGTCGGAAAAGGAGTGCTCCTCAAGCACCTTCCACTTCCCGACCAGACATTCCGCATTCTCAGAGATGAGGGTAACGTCCAGAACTTTCCTTCGGGATTTTGTAATAAAAGTGGGATCATTCCCCCTATTCGCAATAACAAGCTTAGAACTAAGCCCCGTTGAGGCTCCACTTACCAGTCTGTAGCCCGGCGCTTTCAGCCCACAAATGTTTTGTCCCACCACCCAAGGTTCTTGGATTAGGACGATGTCGGCTGCCCCTTTAGCTATTAGATGGAGCAGCAGTGCAGCTGAAGCTGCTTTACAGTGGTGAAGGTTAATCTGCAATACCTTCACCATTTTGGCCGTTATCGCCCACGTCGCCTATTAGGGTGGAGTTGACCTCGTCTTCAGACATCTCGATCAACTCCTCCTCCGTATAAAGCCGAAGCATGCGTCCGAACCCCAGCGAAGACGTCGATGAGGCATAACCCCCGGTCAGGTCGTCCATCGGATCAACCTGCTCGGATTCCTCCTCCATCTCCACGTCGCTGTTGGCCTCCTCCGGCTCTACCTCCGCGATCAGGCTCTTCGCTGCGTTTACATCGTTGCTGTAGACTTTAATTTTGGCCATGTCACAGCCGTAACGTATCACCCCGCTCTTTTGCTCCAGCAACTCTATGGAGTCCTTATTAAGAAGCAAGACAACCTGCATCGTCGCGTTACCGCTTTCATTGATTTTTACCACCTTCCAATTTTCGGCAGGTAGCTCCGGGTTGTAGAGCCTTATGGTATGCAGGATCCTTTCCGGTTCCGCTGGCTTGCAAGGCAACCATGCTCTCGCTCTCGGTCGCACCGGTAGGTCCTTGAAGTCGACCGCCCTGAGCTTCGCACCAGGGTAGACTTCTCCAATGCCTGCGACTGTCTTCTTATATATATCCGCTGATCTAGCATCCTCGCATGCTATAACCCGGATGTTATTTTGGAACCAACCCGCTTCCTTGCAGGTTGGCGGAGGTCCCGGATTCTCCAACACGATGGTGATAGCAATGTCGGCCATCGTGGCCTTAACCTGCTGCCTCAGGGTTAGGCTGTCTTCATCGCTCTCGTCAATGACGCCAAGCAGGATCTGCTCCTTGGCTACTTCAGCAAAAGAAGGCCCCTGCGTTCTGACCCTCTTTGCATTGTTGGGCGTATTTCCCCCCGATCTATTGCGCTTACTGGAGGGCGCCTGCGGCTGTCTCTCCTCCGGCTTGCGGTAATCGGGCAGGACTGCGTTTGCCCAGTCGATTTCTGTGAGGATCTCCTTCACATGCTCTTCCTTCGCCTTGCTACACAGGTCAGGCCTAGTGGTGAACCTTTGCAGGATTCGTGCAGCCAGCTTCTTCTGTCGATAGCCCACTGCAGCTGGTTCTGGCCTCTGGTCAGGCCTCGTGAAGGCCGTGGGTGTCGCGCGAGGACCGCCCGGGGCCTGCGCCCCAGATTCAGCCTTATCCCCGGCTGAAATCTGCATGCCAGGTTGGCATCCACTGGTGCCAGGAGTTTCCCGGGGTGGACTCCTTTGAGCATCCCCACAGCCGCTTTCCTTCTTTTTTGCAAGAGCTTGGCCGGGTTTCACCATTG